TCGAAATTTACGCTTCTTTTTTTTTTTGAAGACTTTTAATGCGGTGTTATGCCAAGGAGAATAAGGAAGCACCGATATATTTCATAACGGTATGTATGCATTTGTAAGATATGACACCTGTTTTTTTAAGAATTCCCAATTTTCATAAACAGAGCGTTCCGACCTATTGGGCAAAATGTCATCAAGAAAATTACGAAGTTCATAGTTCATTGCTTCAAAACTCTCTTTAGCATAGTAACGTATTTTATTAACATACTTTTGTACGTTTCTAATGGGGATATCGATAGAAAAAGGCATTAATTTATGATCACTTATACCTTGCATGTGGCTGAATGAGGAAATTAAAGTATGTGACGTTGTCAAAATTAGATCTAATACGCTGGCTGAGGTTGGAGCGATTCTTGCGGGAACAGTGAGTAACCGATCAAAATTGAAATCACTGCGCACATGTATAAACTCAGCCGCGTCGGATGAAACTGGTTGACTCTGGGCATTCATGTTTGTCCATGCTATATTTGAATAGTTGAAATCCCGAGGAAGGATAATTGGAGAAGATAGAAACTGCTCTAGCAATGAGTTAATGGCGTCATGAAGATTCGCAACGAAAGAAGAGTTACAAGATAGTGAATGATATCATACGCCCAAACCAATTATGTGGTGCTACAAGGGCGAACAAACCCAAGATATTTCTAAATCGCTATTCAAACGCACACAAAATGATTCGACATGATTTGCAATTACAATCAGTACACCACCACCTGTTCTTTCACCCTCATCACAACAGTAAACATTAAGACGTTTTTCATAACAAAAATGAAATAGAATTTCTATTACTAGAAGATAGTCACGTTTAAGTTAATAAAACGATATCAGCACAAGAGGAATCTTTAACCAAACTTAAGTCATCCCTGTGAAGTAAAACAATTCTTATATGAGTAAAAAAAACAGACACGTGATGGCCATTATCAAAACAGCCGTCACCCATCACGACTTGGAGAGATGATCATGGTGTTTGCTGTTGATTAGAATGAACTGCCACACTGTCATGTGACGCGCAAATCGGGGCCGCGACTAAGCTCCAAAACAGTTTCAGTTGTGTTATACATGTAGGATATTTTCCTGATATACAATTTTGTGTATCGTAACTGATAGACGCAATTTATAGTTTCTCCCAGGGATGTGCAGTATTTCAAATACAAGTATTTGAAATACGTATTTCAAATACTTTCTGTATTTTGCATTTGTATTTAATTACAAATTGGGTAATGTATTTGACGTGTGTATTTAAATATTAAAACGTGGGTATTTCAAATACAATCGTAATTAAATACAAATTTGTGGGCGAAAATACATCCCTCAAATTTATTGTCACGACTCAATTTGCTCATCCTAAGGCGTGTCCAGACCAGGAAGAAAACTACGTTCTGCACCGAATGCAGTGTCTCTCAATCAAGCACAAGTGTTTAGTGACTGTGATTACGGTGCTAGTCCAGGGCAAGAATAGTGACGAAATCGACGTTCACAGGCAGACTGGCTAAATAAGTGCCTGTGACGACTTGTGATGCTTTCCAGCCTGATTTCCATCCATATTTTTGCCTGGAACATTCTAAATGCTGGGTCGTCCAGATTTTCGTAACTGGTGCGAGTTGCAACAATAAAAAAATTCTCTAGCTAGTGCTGCGCGTCTTGGTCGTCTCGGTTTTTTGTTGGTCTATACCAAAATGTAATCGACAAAGAAAGCTGCTTGAAGCTCTGTACTTTTTTCACCTATTACGTCCAAGCTGATTACATATTTTTGTGATTATATTTCTATTACGTTACTAGAGCCTCGCGCACAAACTCCCTAGTGTGCAATGCAAAATTAAAATGTGATACCCAGAAACCCGTTGCAGGTGCCCTGAAGTCGCTGACGCAAATTTTGAGGAATGTATTTGGAAAAGTATTTGGAGGAGACCAAATACATTTGGTTGTATTTGTATCTTGTACTTAAATACTTTTTTGGAAATGTAATTAGATTTGTAATTAACTACATTTTTGACGAAGTATTTTGTATTTGTATTTCAATACATATTTGCATGTATTTTGCCCATCGACCCGTTTTCTTCTGGTGAGGCGCGTGACCGGTGAAACCTTTAACGTGCCCTAAAACGGCGTGTAAGTGTACATATTTTTTTTTCTTTGTGCACTTGAAGTGTCAATAAAGACAAAAGAGTGATAGTTTGAAACAGATGTTTCGTGTGCTTACTTTCTAATCATAAAAACGTTGCTCCACGCAAAAAAAAAGAACAAAATTGTGCAGTGTGCATCCGGGGGAGAGCTAACGCCATCGATCGAGCTTTCTGAGCGGAAAATGATGTCTATATGGGCTTCGTCAAAAAAGTGACGTCAGGCGAGAATGTCGCGTGTCTTCTAGGCTTCACTTGGGAGTGGCTACGGCTGCGCACTCCTGGTGTGGCGTTACAGAAGACCTATGACACCGTGGGGCCCATTGAGGGGTCTCATGGTCTACTCTATTCGACGTGGGCTCGCTCACAAGAAGCATCAGAGTCTAAACCCCGAGACACGTAGAAAGAAAATAACGGACAAGACACAAAATCGCTTTGCGTCGTATTGTCCGTTGTTTTATTTCTCAATGTCTCAGAGTTGGCCATTACCGCGTGACACTACAAATTCGTTTATTTATAGATATATTCTTTTCCCCAGAGGTGATCATACCACTACACACGCAAGTGGGCCATACATGTACATGAAAACACTAGCGTTGAAATGAACACACCTTTATTGCATTCTCACATATCAAAACCGCAAAAAGAGAACCTTTCAAAGCATGAAGTCACGAAGGGGGAGGGGGTTAGAATCTAGTGAAACGCTGAAGTTTACGAATAAAGATAATTAAAAACGGCCACAGAAAGTGTGCTGGGATCCACATGCGGAAGCTGTAGCGGCGTTTGAAAGGTATGCTCTATGATATGTGGTTCTAGTCGATGTCATGGGGTCTTGACTTTTTTGGCGCTTACGCGTTGCCTCTTTTACGTCATAAATGAGGTTCTACGCTCATGGCAGTTCCCGTGCCACTCTGGCCCTCCATTTACTCTGCTCAGCGTGGCGCGCGTGCCATTTCCGCTACTCGGACGGAGAGCGAATCCTGTACTGTCTGGCCATGTCTGCAGAGAGGGGGGGGGGGGGGTATAGAAGACTGAGAAAGCGTGGCCCTTTTAACGTAAAACGTTGTTTCGCAGGGCGCTTAGTGTTTCGTGAAGCCCGATAAGTGAAGCCTGGTCAGAGTAGCCCCGAAGCTCGATGTTGGTTGGTTAACGGGGGAGGTCACGTGAAAAGAGGGGTAAACGAGGAGGAGCTCCACAACCTGTGCACACTGAGGCAGAGGATCTGGAGAGTGTGGAAGGCTCTGGAAGATCGCCAGGTTTATCAGCCATGCATATATGAAACTCAGAGTATCGCTAAACGTTTGTGATGCTCTGACGTATGAAAAGTAATTTCCTGGCCATGTTCTTCTTTTCTGTAGATGCGCCAGAGTAGATTCTGTACTCTGTTTCGCTTTAAGTCCGATCTCAGCCGCACTCTAAAAAATCTATGTGCTTCTACTTTCACGCACACCACTCGGAGAGCCAATCACCGCAACTTACGGAGGCAGCTCAGCGAATGACGATGCCGAAACATATGTTTAGACTAAAAAACGCAGTCTGAGTTGTGACATTGAGCAATGCAAGCGTGACGTTTTGCATTGCTTAATGTCACAACTCAGACTGCGCTTCTTGGTCTAAACATATGTTTCGGCGTCGTCATTCGCTGAGCTGCCTCCGCAAGTTGCGGTGATTCGCTCTCCGAGTGTTGTGCGTGAACGTAGACGCACATACATTTTTTAGAGTGCGACGCTATAGCCCCGTGAAACCGATCAAAAAACGCCAACAGTGCATTGTCACGGTTCTTTTTGTCTTTGCGTGTTTTCTATCACTGGTTGGCTACACTGGTCAGCCCTCCGGCTGATTGGCTCATTCACTACACCGCGGTCAGCCCACCAACAGATTAGCTACACGATTCTGCACTTTTTGCTGCGAGTCATTGGCTTAGCTTGCCATACAGAACCCACAAAACACAAGGAGAGCCGTGACGATGCAGTTTTGACGTTGCTTGATTAGTTCGACCGTATCTTAGCATTGGAAACGGTTGCCCCAAAAGGCGGCGGTGGTAGCGGCGTCTGCGGTTTGGAAGCTGGTGTTGTATGGGCGACGGGGAAGGGGGGGGGGGGGGGTTAGCGAGAGAGAGAGAGGGAGCGACAGCTCGTCTTTCTATACTTCGTTTCAGCTTACGTCCGAGCGCGGCCGATGTTATGGTCCAAAGGGCCCATCAAACAGCGCCAAAAACGCAACGTCAAGGCGTGCTCTGTGCGCTTGATAAGACTAGCCGGCGCAGGAGTACGCACAGAGACACGGCGAATACCGGCTAGTCCTATCAAGCGCATAGAGCACGCCATGACCTTGCGTTTTTTGCGCTGCATGATTGGCCCTTCAGGTCATCGTCCGCGCTCGGACATAAGGTGAAACGAAGTACAGAAATAACTTGTCTGGGCGATGTGCGACGCAAATGGGGAGAGGGCTGTGCGGAGAGCAAGTCGTCTGCTTTTTGCGCAGGGATTGCGATGACGTCAGAACGACGCAGAGCTCTGATTGGCTTTGATTGGAAGTATTCTGGGTAGACCTGAATGGTCTACCCACTATTTTTTCTTCAATCAGCCACAACGCGTCAGGTGTTTTGACATCATTGGACCCCCTGTCCAAGAAGCAGACGAACTTGCGCTCCGCATAGCACACCCGACGATGAAGCCTGTGGGTTTTCGCGAATGGATGCTCAGAAAGTTAGTAATACAAAGAAGTTAGCGATTGGAAGTATGTGCTTCACCGTCTTCGTATGTTCACTTTTCCAATGAGTGAATTTGAACCCTATATTGTTGTACCTACTCGGTAAATATATGTTGTAAGTGCTTACTCGTTTTCCTCTATGACAGTTCTAGTTTTCTTCTGGCGACCGTTGATTTTTTTTTTCACCGAGACATCGAGGTCACTAAAACAAGGAGCGCACGCTAGCAACTTTTGAACAAAGCATGTTAGAACCTGAGAGCCCGGTAGAGACAGCTTGAAGTGAACGAAAAGCGTGTAGTAAAGCATTCCTGAAAGAAACATGCCAATCATTACACCGTACTGCATGTTTTCGACTGATCGCACAATGGGACTGGCCGACAAGAACAAGAGAAAGACGAACCACAACACTGGGAATATCGTTGGCACTCTGTACGGCCTCGGAGCGTTCTTCATGGTCACTCGAAGCACAAAAAATGACGAAATTATGAGGAGGTTAAAAAAACAGAACAAAAACACCATGTTCGGGACGAGGTTATCGACGGAGCCGATGGAGGCGTACACCTGAGCCAAGAAACTTCGCAGCAACAACGAAGTGAGAGGAACGGATGATTGGACGTTGATGGTTCCGAAGATTGCGGGAAGCTGGCCATATCTGGATATGGTGAGGATAGACCTAGTGCTGCTAAAGAATCCGGCGCACATGGTTCCGAAAGTGCTGATCGTCACGGCTAGCGCAATGAGGACGGCTCCCGAGGTACCCCAGGTAGCTGTTGCGAAGGAGACGGCGATGGCTTCGGAGCTGGCGACAGTGGCAGGTCCCAGGATCACGAAGTAGACAACGTTGACCAGCAGGCTGAGGACCGTCACGAAGGTAATCCCGCCAAACATAGCCAGTGGTATGTTGCGACGGGGGTCTGTCATCTCACCGGCGATGCCGGTGATAGACTGCCTGCATGCGCCAATACGAAAGTTTAGACCCTGACAGTAGTAGTATGGTATTGAAATGGAGAATTTAATAAAATATACATGTGAATTTTATACAGAAATAAAACGCGCTTACGAAATATTTTTCTTCGTTCAGAGTTCCTGAAGCAGGTAGATGGTGGTACAATATGAACTGGTCTTGGGGCGTTATAGCCGTTACTTCATAAAAGTCACGCGGGAAGCCCCGATCAAGCTAAGCGGCTAGAATAGAAGCTGGAATGCACTGTCACTTCTCTTACTGTCGCAGTGTGGCTGTAGGTTTCATAGCATGCCGGAGCCACACCCTTAGGTATTTTATCCCTTTCGGCTAGAACTAGTCTAGGTCTGTTTCTATTGCCGAATACTGTACATCAAGCCATGGCCATAAAAAAATACAAAGACGCAGGTTTTCTACTGCACCTAGACTACAAATTTATTGAAAAAGATCCATTGGTAGATACTTAGGGAATACGAAAAGCCACATTCGTCCGTCTTTGAGAAACGCTAACGCTGACCCCTTCACTTTTTTTTTTGTTTTGTTTTGGCTTGGACGTGTGCGGCGTTTTTCAAGTGTCGTGCTAACGTATTCCCTAAAGATCCACCAATGGATCTTACTTTTTTTGTTTGCCGCCTACTTGGCCTAGCGCTATATTCCGTTCACCCTGAAGCTGGGACTAGAAGCTCGAGCTCGATGGCTTCCGCAGAGATTTGGTTGCGCGTGCCTGCGCGTTCACACTTGTGTTAGCCAAGGGGGATGCGTATTATCGGGATGAGGACGATTCGTCACATGCGCACTCGTCACAGGACGATTGGTCACAGGACGATTTGTCACATAGGAACATTCGTCACAGGATGACTCGTCATGCGGGCAACTGGTCACATCGACCGAGTCTGCACGCATTCCCTGATGAGGAGTTTCACGATTTTCTACTGTCCCATAAACCAATGGTTAGAAAACCTAATCTTAAATACTCATCCGCCTAATCTCAAATACTCATCCGCCTTTCCTCTCATTATATTACGGGTCTTCAGCAGGTTGATCTCAGTTGCTGTCTTGAACGAGTAATAATCCGACTGGCAGCGAAATCAGTAGTTTTGCCTTGCATACACCTATTTGACAAAAGCAATAAGTATCGGAATTCTTTCTGCTGGATGTGTACGAGTAGCCCTCGTGCAGCATCAGGGCTCTACCTCTCTCTGTTGCGATCACCTCTATCCTTTTGAATGTAGTCTCAGTTCAAAAATTGTCGCTCTTATGAGGCCTCCGCATTCACCGTTCCGGACGGACCCAATAGCTAAAACGTCTGTTATAAATTCTTTGACTTTGAGAAGTGAAAGACATGCTAAGATAAGAGGCGACCCACTTTGTCATGCCGAACCAAATTCAATGTTCGGGACCGAACCAGAAGCTGAAACGTTTGTTACAAATTCTTCGCCTTTCAGAAGCCAAAGACATACTAAGATATGAGGTTAGCCACTTTGTCCGCCTGAACCAAACTGAACAATACATTTTTGGGGAGACGAACTGTTGTGTCCGGTTGGCCGCGAACTGTCCGGTTGGCCGCGTGACGAGTCATCCTATGACGAATGTTCCTGTGTGACGAATCGTCCTGTGACCAATCGTCCTGTGACGAGTGTGCATGTGACGAATGGACCGTATCCCGTATTATCGGCACCGATTCGATGTCCAGGGGGCGTGGCCAATGACGTCACGGACGTAAAGATTATATTTTTTTGTTATTTTGACGTAAACACGTTTTATTTTGGATGCCGCCGACTGCATTTTGAAACGTCGGTCGGTCGGCGAGTGTGCGTGGTCGGGTTCTCGGCGGCTCGGCGGTGTCCTCGCTGGTGTGTGTTGTCGACGTGCCGCCTGTTCGCGTTTCGTTCTGTTGCGTATCAATTGCCAACATCCCGGAAAATCAAGGTAAGCGTTTTCTAGTTCCGTTCACGCGGTGCCGTCCGTCCCTCCTGTTGCAAATAAAGATCTGTAGTGTCTAGAGTACCGTCCGACGGCACTTTTGCAGAGCATTCAAGTGCCGTCCAACGGTTCTCCACTCACGAGTTAAGTTCCGTTCGAAAGTCTCGTATAAAACAAATTGTAAAAACGAGATTTCCTAAGTCGAGCGTAGCTTAGTGGTATGATGTCTGCCTCATGCGCAAGCGGTCGCAGGTTCGCTCCACAGTGCAGGCTTACTATTTTTTTTTCTTCAAACATTTCGTTTTGTTAGGGCATTTGGCGATGTTTACGAATTTTTTTTTTTACAATTAATGCTGAAAAAAAAGAAGAAAGCCGTTAACTTTTTGTAACGCCGAATTAGAGCGCAGCTCTTGAGGAGGAGGAGGGGAAGGTACGGAGAGGAGGCTATGTCCCTCTTCCCCTGCTGTTCGCCTCCCATTTAGGGGAACATTTTCCACTAAATTTAGCGGGAAAAATTTTCCGCTAAATTTAACAGGGAATTGTTCAGCTAGATTTAGCAGGGAAATTTTTCCGCTAAATTGTTTTTTTTTTTTTTTGGGGGGGGGGGGGATTTTTTCCGCTAGATTTGGCAAGAAAATATTTCCGCTAGATTTAGTGGGGAAATATTCCCGCTAAATTTAGTGGGAAAGTTTTCCCGCTATAATTAGCAGAAAAATTTCCCGCTAGATTTAGCGGGGAAAGTTTTCTTCTAAATTTAGCGGGGAAATTTTCCCGCTAAATTTAGCGGGGCACTTTCTACTTTGCTAGATTTAGCGGGGAAATGTTTTGCTAGATTAGTCAAGGAAATGTTTCCGCTAAATTTAGCGGGGAAATGTTTCCGCTAAAGTTAGCAAGGAAATTTTTCCGCTAGATTTAGCGCGGAAAGTTTTGTGCTAAATTTAGCGGGGAAAATTTTCCGCTAAATTTAACGGGGAAACTTTTCCGCTAAATTTAGTGGGGAAATCTTTCCGCTAAATTTAGCAGGAAAATTTACCCATAATACACCGCAAGGTTACGCCGACGCCGACGCCACTCAAGCCGGAAACGGGCATCTAAGAGCTGCGCTCTAAAAAACAAATGTTGTCGACGAACTTTCGCTGAACAAAATGGTATGGGACTTCCTCTCCGAAGGTGCATGGAGACAGCGGGGCTTGGTTTGCCGGCTGGACACCGCGAAGCGGCGTGTACGACGGAGCCACCGCATACTGTCGCCAAGGTCACGCACGACAGTGCTAAAAGCGCCTGCTAATTGCTTTGGATCACGCGGCACGAGCGCTCCTGCATCGGGTGCTCCAGTCATGCCAGTCAAGGCTACTCGCTCGCCGCTTGCACGGCCTTCGCAGCTATCATATGCAACGGTGACAATCCGTCGTATTACACACAAGCACAGTTCCAAAAAAATGCGTACAAAATTAATGCAGCTAGGTTCTGTCGCTCCGGTACTCGTAATCTTCACTTGCAACAGGCGCCGGTCGAATTTTGAAAACGGAGAACGCTTACCTTGACGTTCTTGAGAACGCGACGAGTACAGGCGGCACGTCGGCAACACGCACCAGCGCGGACACCGCCGAGCCGCCGAGCACCCGACCACACACACGCCGAGCGACCGACAATTCAAGATGCAGGTAGCAGTATCCAAAATAAATCGTATTGTTTACGTCAAAATAACAGTGAACATTATTGTGACGTCCTCGACTTCAAAACAAAAATGCCGTTGTTTTACGTTCATGAACGTCATTGGCCACGCCCCCTGGACTTCAAATCGATGCCGAAAATACGCAGCCTAGCAAGGGCAGAAAGCTCGCGCTGAAGGCGGAGCTTCTAGTATGAACGGCGTATAGTGCAGGGTTCACACTCCATTTTGTACCACAAACCACAGCATACACACTCCGCACACCAGCAAGTTCAGACATGCCCAGCATCCGCGCGCTCATTGGCTTCCTCCCAGTGACATGGCCTCCCTCTCGCCTTCGTCCTTTACTACTCTCCTCCTTTCTAAGCAGCGCGCTACCCTTTCCACTCATTTGTCCACAAACGGACGCCGTCAGCTTTTCCATGTCAGGTGGGTACTGATGCTGACGCATTAATATAATAAGTTGTTGGACAGAGCTAGGAACTCATTTTGCTGGCCCGATTTCATATGTGTGTCAAGGCACCGCAGCCCCGAGCACGTAAAGTGAAAGATTACGCTGCAGACCCCAAAGATCCTTGGTTGAATCCCCACCTCCGCCCGTTTCCAGATGAATGAGGACAGTACCGACGTGGCTATTGTGTATCTATACTGCGCGATGCTCGTTGAGGGATCCATGCTAGCGGTGCTGTTCTGTCTAAATTGTTCATCTACAGAATAAACACCAGACGCCCTTGGGGCTGAATGCCTTCACCCTGTCCAAATATACACCCAGCACTATGTCATTGTGCATCACCGGCTTGCTGCGCTGAACTCCTGACTTGGAAAATTTCATTGCGCATAGGCTTGAAGTTCGAAATTGTACTCTTATGAAAACTATTCGTTGTCTTAGTTTTCCTAAAATCTTTAACCAAGAGCACGCTATACTTGGAGCGTTCTCTCTAATTTAGATCACGTAAGAAATGTTACCTACCAGCCCGAGTAGGATACATTGCAGGCGTAAAACGCCACTACTATTTTTGAAACCGTTGTGTCAAGGGTGAACATTGGAGCGTCATGAAGGTGGTTCACTAGCAGAAAAAAAGGTTGAGAGTGTTATTACTTTTTTTGGTTGTGCCATAAAACATTCAAGGGCTTCAGTACATAAAAAGTAGCCAACAAACTCACCTCTGAAAGCAAAGATGGCTCCTGTGATAACGATCGAGACTAAGATTAGGCATTTTACTGTAGAAAGCACTCCTTGAACCCTCGACGATACTATCACCGAGAAAGAGTTGATGACAGTTGCCAGACCTGTGGAAATACATCACTTGTTTTAGATATAGCACTTTACAACTTGGAACGGGCTATGTCCACCGTAACGGTAATCAAGAACTCGTGTTCTTTTCATTTTTTTACAAAGATCCGTGTTGCAGCTGCTTTGTAGGGGCAGCGAGTGATTGCCCAGCTGCATGAGATCAGTTTTTGTTTCATTACTTTGGTCTTCCCCATTGTTTACTATGAAAAATAAACAATGTTACAGTATCAGCTTGTACGATTAACAATTCGATTGGCTATATTCCTTATGCCAGAAACTTTCGAAATCGAAAAAAGGTGGACATCGAGCTCACCCTATATAGTAAGCTTTCTAGGGTGAATGCAATGAGAATGATATATCTTAAAACAAACAAACAAAAAAAAAAACAATTGCGCGCAAAGTTTGTAAGCAATACATACGCCTCTGTTTTTTGTTGAAGCTATTCAACAGAAAACCAAGGCGTTTTAGTTTATCGGGCGCTTAAGTCATCTCAATTAGATTTGTGGCCGAGTATATGTCGCTTACATGTGAAGATGAGCGTCACTATCACTCTCAAGACATAGGGGGCGCTGCACGTCGGGTAGATAACTCCAAGGAGGTAGGTGGACATGGTTAGTCCGTGCAAGGTGGCTGTCATCGGGTCAGCGAGTGTTACGTAGCCCCAGGCCATCATAAATCGGATGACATCTCCCAGTTTCCCAAGTGACTTGCAAGCCTCCGAAACGTAGGCGTAGCTGCCGCCAGTTACCGGAAGCATTGAACCCATCTCGGCGTAGCAGAGTCCTCCTGCATAACGAAGCAAAACGATCACTGACGTCCGTAGCAGTCACCCCCTTCGGCTTTTTCTGTTGTCATCATAGCAGGGGGTTTCTGGTTGTTTGTTTCGGCAGTTCCATAGCGGTTTCCGCGACCGGAAACAAAATCTAGACATGCCTTGCGCTTGCGCAGTGGAGGCATCTTTGATGCGGTAAGATTTTGTGAACGCAATATAAAGATCTACGCAAACTCCCTAGCACTGCATTGTGGTTATACGTATACAACAAGATATGATCTGCCCTGAAGTTTAAGAGTTCCGTTTTTTTTTTAATCTTCACGCCTAGACCTTGCCATAAACTATATTTCTTTTTCAAACACCTTAGGGGCAACCATTTGGAGGACAACATTTAATAAGCCACGAGGCGTGGCCCTTCAAATATTACGCGCTACCAAATACTGTACTAGGAAGAACACATTTGACTCCGCTAATGTGCTTTATTCAGCGCGTCTACAGTGCCAAACTTTACCTTAGCGTTGTGTTACGTTTCCGTTTATAAGAATCTGATCATTAAAAGAAAATGCAAGCCATTGTTCCGGCCAATTTCAACTTCAGCGAGGTATGCTCAACGCAGTTTGTATAGATTTTAATGTAGGTTATATATTCTAAGACTGCACGCCCCCCCCCCCCCCCACACACACACGCACACACTGCTAGAATGGGACGAAACAAAATTTATATAACAATCGACTTTTTATCCTTAACCTTAATTCAGCGATAAACAACGTTTCCCAAAACGTAGCGGGAAGGTTTACCAAAAATGTATTTTACATCGCTGGATTCTTAGCAAAGACCAAGCTGTTTCTTTGACTGTCATACTCAATAATTTTACAAAAAAAAAATGATTATGTTCCCAAGACTTCGCAGTTTCAAAAGGGAGTTTTCGTAGACCGTTTTCCCAGCTTCGCTACGCTCTCCGAAACGAAGACGCCACTATTGCGCATGTGCGGCGCTGGCCTTGCCTTCAGAGTCCCGGATCTCGCAGCGGGCTGCGGAGAACATTGCGGGATAGCGGAAACCATCTACGAAAACTCCCTAAATATAGCATCGCGTGTATCGATTCACCACAAACTGTCGTAATTTATCAACCCATTCCGAATGCGGCAAGCACATTGTTTCGGCTGAAGAAACTATCTGGACCGCGAGCTGAGGTATGTTTATTATGAATACCAAAAGACAAACGAAGGTATAACTAAAAGGACGCACAAAGAGAGAAGCCGCGAACATCAACGCTTCAGCTGACTTTCCATCTTTCTTTCTTTCTTTCTGTCTTCCTTTTTTCTATCTTTCCACCTTACCAGTTAAGTCCACTGACAGCTTAATAAACGCAAGGTGTGGCACGTCCCAAGCTCCTACAGGGTATCCTAAGCGGATCTTCTGCTAAAAAAACTTTCTGCAAAAGTAGTTGCCTCCATATAGGAAGCTCAAACGTTCACCAACTGTGCATGGAGCAGGTCGGTCTTACCGTGTGAAATCTCATGCAGTAGTTCTCATCCTGTACAAAATGAGTCCAAAAAAACTTGCCGAAGTCAATGCAATTCATGCGCGCTCCCAGACGACCGAGTTAGCGACGCTATATACTTGTGGCGCAATCTCCCGATAGGCGCTGTGAGCAGACGACGAACTCTCTTGTCTGTTGGCTCGCTCAATAGCTTTGGTGGCTCTGCCACCAAAGCTATTGATATCTCATTTCTGGGTGAAATATATATCTTGAAACACACCACCGTCAACTTTCTTGGGCATCAACTCCTCGGCGCATGCACTGAAATAAGAATTTCAACTGAACAACAACAAACGTCGCAATGTTCCCTGGGAATATTTAAGATGACAGTCATGAAATATAAATGAATAGTCATCGAAGTTTTTGGGAGCGTATAGATGTTATTCCACGGCTCTATTCTCTTTTTTATTAAACCCTACAGGTCACATTCACACAATTGTGAACTTCTGTTTCTCTTGACAAAAGATCGTAATGTTCCCCAGGAAAGTAAGCACCGTGGGTATCATATAGAGCGTAAATCGATTAGGTGTTTATATTTAATTGAAAACGTTCGTGTTACACTGAATGTGCTAGAAAGTTGGCCATGCAATAGCAGCATTTATATATACTTTACTCTTATTCGTGCGGTTATATTATGGAGGTTAACATCCCAGACAATTTTGGTAGTCTGTTCTCTCATAGACTTACCGATCATGGCGAAGCATCCCGATATGCCCCATACCACAAGTGCTCCGCCAACCGAACCCGCGTTTCTGTACACAATGCTTGGAGTTACGAATATTCCGGATCCTGCAAAATGCACATTCAAACACGGAGATTAACTCAACGCGTACTTTGCACTAAGCGTTACGCCTTTCAAGATGCTTTGAACAATCGAAAAAAACGTTTTTACATAAATGCGTAAAGTTGAAACGTTTTTTATCGCTTTTTTTATAACATATAAAACTGTGCGAAGTAACCTCAATTGTAATAATTCTCAAAAAGACAGCTGTGCGTTTTAAACCTCCCAAACTGATTCAGTCGAAACCTACAGGACTGCAATAAAATGTTCAATGGTTGATGAGTTTAGTTATATATTTTATCGCTTGCTGTTCTTTCTAACCTTTCGAGGGAAAACAAACCTTGACCCCACAGTATTGTAGATAGTTTATTATGACTTTAACCTCACGATAAACAAAAATATATTTTGAAAACGTTTAAAAAAAATTTTATACGTTAGAAAGTATCACCAACAAAATCTTTTAACAATACTTATATAAATATATAGATAAATGGTCACACCTGCGGTTGCACCAATCAGAAGTGATATTGTGCCGATTAACCCGACTTCTCGCCTCAGAAAAGCTCTAGATCCGTTGCGATTTCCAGTCTGTGCGTCGCTTAAGTCTTCGTCAAAATCGCATTCAAAATCGGACGTCCTCGTTGAAGATCTGGTTGTATGACGATGGGGTGCTCTTGTGCCTGTTAGTTAAAAGCATTAGGATGTTATTATACTAAATAGAACCACGAGGGTGCATTACGAGATGAACCAATAGCATATGACGCCTCTGGGATATGCCAGAGTGGTTCCAAAATAGCAGTTAAGTCCATGCTTTCAGTTGTAAAGCCACCTTGTTTCTAGGCCTTATATTATCATACTAGTGTGTCATCACTGGTGCGTCATAGAAATACTACTTAATTTATTGAAATGCGGCCTGAAGTAAAAAAAAACACATTTTGAGCAGCAATTACATTTTGCGGAAGGCAGTTTCCAAGAAATTTTCTTTTCGAATAAAACACACATAAAAGCATGCTTTTCGCGTTCCATGCTTGCACGTTTTGATAGAATAACAGATAACTGGTCTTAAATGCACATACAAGTATCTACATGTACTACACAACGAAAGACGTTAGCCGTGCTCCACGAGAAATTTAACTTCCTTTACTTCGGATCTCCAAGTGGAAAACCGCATCTTTCCAGCGCCCCTAGGCGATAAATGCTGAGTCATCGGGCTCTAGACGGACGCGCGGTGCCTGGCATTCCTCAGCAGAAAACTATCCGGAGAGCAAGTCCGTCTGATTCTTGAACAGCGATTGCGAGGATGTCAGACGCTGAATTCTAATTGGCTAATAAAAAAAAAAAAAAAAAAAAAAGAGTGGGTAAACCTCAAGGCATCTAGCATTGGGCTCTACCCCCTATCCTCTCAATCAAAGCCAACCAGAACGCAGCGTCGTTGTGACGTCACTGCAACTAATGCGCGAGGAGCAGCCCTCCGCATTGCACCTGCTCAGAACACCTTCCACGGCCCAGTGGAGCGTGATGGCAGCGTTCAGAAGGCCATTAGGGTGATGGTCTATGAGGAGTGTGCGACATCTATGAAGGGAGCGCGCTGTTCTGGCTTGGAACCTGGTAAGCAGAGCGACACCAACGACAGTGTCCGCGTTGCGTCGCATAGTGGAACGCCACCATCTTGGCCGCTTCTGCGCCTTCCTGCGGCTGTGTTTCTCGATCTCGCTCCGAAGGAAAGGTTTTGCACACTGAAAATCGAAAACCTACCGGCGACCAGCGTGTTTTTACGTCATTCGACCCGGAGTAGTTGCTCGGAGCTCGGGTTGAATCGTATGTCCCGCAGTTGTAAGCGGCAACGACTACAACGTACTGCCAGATTTCCTTCTTGTTTCTTTTTTTTTTTTTTTCCCCTTTATCTGCGCCGGAATTTGCCTCTATACGAAGTGTTTATGTGCTGGACGCTCCGAAAATCACGACGGGATGACAATCATCGGCGCCACTAATAACAGATAAAATATACATGTGAAGTAGTTTTTGCTTCTTTTATTGTCAGATTGCTCTTTGCTCGCCGAAGGATCGAGTAGACGTACGGGGATTGAGGTGATCGCGTAGGTTTTTGCCAGCAGATGGAGGAAATACGTGTTCCCGATTTTCAGATCTCGTGAACAAAAAAAAAATAAAAGTTTAGCGCCGAGTGTTGCCTTGAACGTTTTGTATAGCGCTGGCTGCTACACATGAGGTCTATGTCAGTACGGCAGTGTTCAATGCAAAATGTTTCTGCTAGTTGCCGCACCGGGCGCCAGTGTCTTGTCGCACGCTTCCAATAGAAGCAACAAACCTTTGTGGCCGAGCGCCATGCATACCAATCCTCAGTTAATCAATAAATTGTCTATTGCGGACGGTATAGCAGGTCATGATGTTGGTTTTGTTCAGTCTAGTTCAATTTTCATTAAACTCAGACATTATTATTGAAGCAAATTAAAAATACAAATGAATTAAGAAATGAGCCAGTAGGGAGAAAGTACGGGTACTACTTTTATGAGAAACACCGTTGTGACAAGCACTACATTTAGAACAGGTTGTTTAATACGAGGCGTCAAAACACACAAAAAATGATTGATTAGCTAAAAGAACAAACAAGGTAAAAACTGTCAGGCGGTCTTATCCGTTTTGATTTGCCCAAGTTTGAAATGGGCGCAAAGAGGTGCAGCGTTCTATCAGGTTTCTTCCTATTGCAGTGAGCCCTACTATGGCTCAACATCCTATAATTGTGTAAGTAATTTTGAATATTTTTCTGAAGCCTACACTGAGTACGCCAAAACATATTTGCATAGCGCGTCATTAGAATCATAAACTACATTGCAGTCAACTGT